CTCTCTCTCTCTCTCTCTCTCTCACCCTCTCTCTCCCTCTCTCTCCCTCTCCCTCTCTCCCTCTCTCTCTCTCTCCCTCTCTCTCTCTCTCTCTCTCTCTCTCCCTCCCTCCCTCTCACCCTCTCTCTCCCTCTCTCTTTCTCTCTCCCTCTCTCTCTCCCTCTCTCTCTCTCTCTCTCTCTCTCTCTCTCTCCATGGCTGCAAGTTCATTTTGCTTAAGGTTTTCAAACAAGAGATGTTGAAACAACAGCTGAAACAAAGGAAGGAAATGGAAAAAAATTATGGGTAAATAACCCTTTTTAAGTTTTGTTCTATTTCTCTCTCTAGAAATTCAAGTTTTTTTCTCATCATAATCTCTTTCTCTCTCTAGATCTCATCAATTTACTCAATGGGTGTTCTTACTTTTTTTGGAATTTCTTTGTTGGTTTGATTAACAGAATTGAAATGGTTTTGATTAGCCCTTGATTTGATCTCAATATGTGTAGAGAGAGAAGGGTTATGAAGGTGGTGTAGGAGAGAGAAAATCAAGAGAGAGAAAATAGAGAGAGAAAGAGAGAGAGAGAGAGAGAGACAGAGAGGTAAGGTGAGGAGAGAGAAACTAGGGCCATTTTGATTCACCTAAGGGACAAGAAACATGCATTGAGGGGCTATGCCTTTGCTTTGATGCCATTAGGAAGGGCAAGTGACCTTCTACCAAATTTCATAGAAAACCCTATCCCTAATTTGTTTCATCATATACAAAGTTTTGTAAATAGACAAAAAGAAAACATTCTAATGTAGAGGTAGATAGATATGTTCGGTAGCTCGAGAAACCAAACATATATTTGATTCGAGAAACATAGCTTATATTCGTTACGAGAGTTCATTTATTCTTGGTTTCGAGTTTACGTTAATCTCACGTTGATGCAAATTAATTGTGAGGTACAGTGCTCTCTCTGTATCTTTACGATCGTAGGATATTATCTGTTTTGAGCATAAACACTTCTTACCATCTTTGCTTTTAGTTTCCCTCAAAAAACCTCGTACGAGCAAAGGTATGTTATCTTTCGCTTATATACTTATGATGTTCTCGAGCTGATATATCGAGAGACATAAAGTCTGCATTTTGTTATGTATTTAGCATTCCAAATCTTATTTTAAATAAATCCAGATAAAATCTCGAGCCGAATAACCTATATATACACACACATAAAAGGGTATATATGTAGAGGCCATAAAGTTTCAATTTTTTCTCCTTTCATAACTTAATTTGATATATAATTCCTTTTCTTTGTAGGAAGATGTCTTCTTCCACCTACTCCAATTCTCCTTGTGCAGCTTGCAAGTTCCTACGTCGAAAATGTCTCCCGAACTGCGTTTTCGCGCTGTATTTCCCGTCGGAGGAGCCTCAAAAGTTCGCCAATGTCCACAAGATCTTCGGAGCAAGCAATGTCAGCAAATTACTAAACGAAGTCCAGCCACACCAACGGGAGGACGCCGTGAACTCGCTCGCTTACGAGGCCGAGGCGAGGATGAAAGACCCCGTCTACGGCTGCGTCGGCGCCATCTCGATCCTTCAAAGACAAGTCATCAAGCTTCAAAGAGAACTCGACGCTACCAACGCAAACCTCATTCGCTACGCCTGCAGTGAACTCCCCGCCCCGTCGTCGTCACAGTATGCTCGGAGATCGTCGTCGACAAGCCACATCGGAAGCTCGTCGACCTCTAGCTATGGGCATTACTATTCTGGCCTCTACTTTTGTGACCCTTGTGGAGATGACCATGACAAAGGAGAAGAACACAAGTAAAGTTTCCATTTATGTTGATATGGTGGGTATGAAATTTTATGCATTTTGCTTAATAAATATAAGAGATAATTGCAAATCACACCCTTTCACTTCGTGTAATTTGCAAAAATGGTCTCAAACATTCATAATTTGCAAAATCCATGACATATGTGAAGTAAATTTTTTCATTTGCAAATAATTTTAAAAATTTAGGGATGATTTTGAAAATATACAAAAGTGGAAGGTGTAATTTGCAATTATCTTGATATATACAAGTATGTGTTGTATATTTTAAGGTTTGCCCATGTCCTTGTAGGGTTTAATGTAACCTATTTCTATTATTAGTGGTTTATCTTATATTTATAATTTTTTTTTTAATTTTTAGTATATATTACCGCTGAGTTATACTCGAGTGAGGTGGAATCTTCTTTTGCTTGATTTTTTTTTTGTCGAACAAGAGGTGAGTTTGGTGTCGAGATTTGAATTTGTGACATATTGATCGAGAAATATGTCTTGACTAATTGAACTATGCTCATAAGTGGGTGAAGTACCGAAATTTGAGCAGATTTGAGCTTCTGACATTTTGGTTCATAAATATGTCTTGACTAATTGAATTATGCTTAGAGGTGGGTGTGGTGTCGAGATTTGAACTTTTGACCTTTTGGTCGAGAAATATGTCTTGACTAATTGAACTATGCTTAGAGGTGGGTGTGGTGTCGAGATTTGAACTTTTGACCTTTTGGTCGAGAAATATGTCTTGACTAATTGAACTATGCTTAGAGGTGGGTGTGGAGTCGGGATTTGAACTTTTGACCTTTTGGTCGAGAAATATGTCTTGACTAATTGAACTATGCTTAGAGGTGGGTGTGGAGTCGGGATTTGAGCTCGTGACATTTTGGTTCATAAATATGTCTTGACTAATTGAATTATGCTTAGAGGTGGGTGTGGTGTCGAGATTTGAACTTTTGACCTTTTGGTCGAGAAATATGTCTTGACTAATTGAACTATGCTTAGAGGTGGGTGTGGTGTCGAGATTTGAACTTTTGACCTTTTGGTCGAGAAATATGTCTTGACTAATTGAACTATGCTTAGAGGTGGGTGTGGAGTCGGGATTTGAACTTTTGACATTTTGGTCGAGAATATCTATCTTAACTAATTGAATTATGCTTAGAGATAGGTGTGGAGTCGGGATTTGAACTTTTGACATTTTGGTCGAGAATATCTATCTTAACTAATTGAATTATGCTTAGAGATAGGTGTGGTGTCGAGATTTAAACTTTTGACCTTTACATCGAGAATATGCGTCTTGTAATTGAAGTTTTAATTTTTTTTAAAATTTTATTTAATATTATTTAACATAAGCATGGTTGAACTAATTAAAATGTACACAAAATTATGAATTTTACTTTTAAAATTCATTAAAAAATATTTTAAAATAGAATAAAATATAAATTAAATCATTGATCTATAAAACTTTGGTTTTTTGTCCTATTATATGGACAATATATATATATATATATATATATATATATATATATATTATTTATTTATTTATTTTTATTTGATTACCTTTTTCCCTTTTGGGGAATCAAATTTTAAATATTTTATATTACTAACTTTGCTAAATTTGCTTCATTTTTTTTATTTTTTTTTTAACTTTGATAATTAATTTGACAAATAGATCTCACATAAGATTAATTACGAGTTTCTTAACGGTACGTAGATGTAATGTATGTATTGTTTGAAATTCGCCTCGAAGAAGTGTTACACGACAAAAAGCTCGGGTTTTTGAACTCTCGTGAAAAGAGGGGCATAGGGTAGTGGTACGTTGAGAGACAACTCAATTTAATATGATTGCACTTATAGCTTTCAAATCCAATTCGACCCGTTCTTCATCACTCATGTCCAACTTTTTTGAACGTCAATTAGATTACCGTCATCGCTTAACTACCCCACCACTGAATTTTTCCTTCAAAGACCCGTGAAAAGCCTAACTGTATCGGTACATCTTTGACGTGCCTTTACCACAACCCGAACCCGAACCCGAAGTTATTCTTTCCATCAAAATTCTCCATGTCAATTCTCACGAGACTCACAAAGCTTGATACCTCTACTTTCCTCCTAGCTAATCTGCAACTCGTGCTATTTATAATACTAGCGGGAACTTATTTCAAGAAGTTCGTTATAACATGAAAATCCACACCGTGTAAGAAACACGAGATTTAACATGAAAAACCCTAAACTCTTAATTAAAATTAAAAAAAAAAAAAAAAAGGGCACGTGAGGGCCACGCCGACCGTCCTAGAAAAGGACCACCAACCCTATAACTATCCCTACTGTACCTAATGTCTTACGACTGCGACACCAAGACGTGCCCTTTCCCAACCCCCACGCGCCTAAAAGAAATATCCTAAATTATAACAATAAAAAAGAAAAAGAAAATTCAATTAATTTTCTCTAATTATATTATTTACTCCTTAATATTCAGATACTTTAATATTATTAATTAATTAATATTATTTTTTTTTATTTATAATTTAACTCTTTTTTTCATATGCCAGAGAAAGTTTATTATATATATTTTTAAAAATTAAATATAAGCATATAATTATTTCTAAATATCTAATAATTTTTTAAAAAAATTATGTTAAAATTTTAATTATTTTTTAAAAATTCTATTAATATATATATATATATATAAACAATTATCTTAAAAGGGGGTGTTTTAAGCATGAAGTTGGTGGCTAGCCGTAGTGGGCCGAGGTCTAGATCTTGGGCCAGCTTCTGGTCCATTATAATGGCCCAAATAAGGTTTTATTTATTTAATTAATTATTTTTTTAAAATAAATTTGTGAATTAAAATTTCATAGTCGAGCAATTATTCTTATTTTATTTTGATATATTTACAAAATAAAAAATAAAAAATAATTATTTAGAGGGTCGAAATGAAACTTGTTCCCCATGCAAAGCACCTACTCACCATCTCACACACACGTGTCGCCATTTGCCTAATCCCGCCACCATTTATAACCACCCTCGAACCCATCCCTCTTCCAAACCAAGCAATGGCCGACCGCCCACAGCCGCACCAAATCCAAGTCCATCCCCAGCGCCGCTACGACGACGTCGGCGCCAAGGGCCGCACAGGCCCATCCACCTCCACAATCCTCGCCATCATAACCCTGGTCCCGCTCGGGGGCTCGCTGCTCGGGCTCGCCGGGTTGACGCTAGCGGTGACGCTGGTCGGGTTGGCAGTAGCCACACCGGTGTTCGTGATCTTCAGCCCGGTTCTGGTCCCAGCCATCTTAACCATAGGGCTAGCCGTCCTGGCGTTCTTGACCTCTGGGGCGTGTGGGCTCACGGCGCTGTCTTCGCTTACATGGGCTTTCAATTACGTTCGGCGGGCGATGGGGTTCATGCCGGACCAGATTGACCAAGCGAAGCGGCGCATGCAGGATATGGCTGGGTATGTGGGGCAGAAGACGAAGGATCTGGGGCAGGAGATTCAAAGCAGGACGACGCCGACGGCTCAGGAACAAGGGAGGAGGACATGAATGAACCGAATGGACGGAGTTATGTTGTGGGAATTGTATGTGTTTTTGAGTGTTTGTTTGTTATTTGAGTATTCCTAGGATTTAGTTCAGGTTTGAGCTACTTCTTGATGAATGCTAGCTTTGTTTTTCCATTGTAATGTTTGCTTCTTTGTCCACTTTCTTAGCACTCTTTAAGTGTTCCCAAATCAATTCTAGAGAGAAAAATTACGTCTAAATTTGTTCTCGTACTCGGCTCGAGAACGAGGCTCGACCGCCATCCCATCCGTGAGGTTGTCCTATGACAATAATTTGTAGGACAACCCTAACTCTGAAATTAAGGACCAAAATCTGTCGGTACCCATATCACGTGTAACGCCTCAGATTTAGATCCACCGTTAGCCGATATTGTCTTACTTGGGCTTTCTCTTATGTTTTTACTTTAAAACCCTAGATGGAGGTTTTCACATCCATAAATGGTGATTTGTTCTCGTGGGACATCATATCTCGATCCAGTAATTAGTGGTTGATTGATTATGGATTTCAGTGGTTGATTATGGCTTTATCAACCATGGGTTTGACGAGCTTAACACTTAAAATGGACAATATTACACTTTTGTGGATGTTTATGGGTTTTAACGGAATCGATGAATTAAAAACACATAGTTATAGAATGTTCGTGATTTCTAATGGACAATTGGATAACTGACAACAACGTTATATATCGATGGTAGAGGTTCGTGATTTCTTTTTAGTGTTTTTCATACATAATATGGAATAGGTCGGTAATATGCCCAATATACTGCAATATGATGAGAGACTATTCCGTCTGGAACAAAAGGATCAAACCTTTCGACACCTATGTTCCTTTGGGTTAGTTTATAAGGATATGATATCCATTGATCATATAATTGGGAGGAATTTATGTTATTAATTAAGGGTGGAGGGCTGGTGAAATAAACTATAAGATCCAATGGCGTTCAAGGGTTCCTATGATGCCTCCAATTAACACATCCAATCCTATAAAAACTCAAACCTAGAATCTAGGAAATTATATTTAAATATTTATTACATAATATTTTAACATTTCTCTTCAACCAAAATATAATAATAATAATACTTCAAATTTGTTCAAACTATATTAAAAAATAAAATAAAAAATATATATATATATATTATTACAAATTATCCACTATCCTTGTGTCCCCATACATACATGCATACATGTCACTTTGTGTCCCCATACATACATGCATACATGTCACTTTTCCGTCTAACTATGTATGTTGAAGATTATTGAGAGTGAGTCCAACGTTAATTAATTTCTTTTATATCTATATTGGTATTTATACCTTTTTAGTAAGCTCAAACTAAAACCATGAGAGTTTAGGTTCAAAGTAGAAAATCTCATACTATTGTTAAGAGTTGTGATTCTTTAATAATATAAAATTGCAAATTATTAATAATTTATTTTATTTTTTAAACTTCCTTCGAAGTTGAAGATCAACTTAGCGCGGCTCAACAAAATCCCCCCGATGTTGAGTTCGATCTCTGTTAACTGAATTATGGACTCGTACGCTCCATTACTGGAGAAACTCCGGCTGCCGCAGCCGTCGCTTCAACGATTCGCCGTCACTTCAATATTCTCCAAGCTGCGAGCTGCTCCGCAGCATCTCAACTCCGATTCCGGCCCAGGCAGAGAAGCCATTTCTCAATGCCTACTTCACTCATCTCCCGCCGTAGTCGATCAATCAGTTCGAGAGCTCTGCCGCTTGGTCAAGGAATCTTACATCGACGTCTCTCGCGCTCTGATGGAGCTTCAAGCTGCTCTCGAGGGATCAGAATCGCGGTTCGTTAACGTTTTCGTCAAGGGACTGGGCTTTCTCGTCCAATTTGGATTCCAGAAGCACAATGGGTCGTGGCAGTTTGGCTCGGCGGAAACTCATCCTTTTGTTAAGGTAAGGGGTTGTTCTCCGAAGAGATTGGCTGAAGTTACTTGTTTAGAATCGATTTTAATCGCGTTATGTTCTAACGATGTTTTGTAATTTAATTGTCATGGTTGGCCGGTTTAGTTTGATTAGTAGTCTTAAATCATCTTTATAAATAAAGAGTTTCCATCACTTGGCGGGGGGCATAGGAAGTCTTTGAGTGTATGTCATTGAAGAAGGTATCGAGTTGATTACAAAATGAACTAGTTTGTTTTTCGAGGAAAGGTCTGATCCATCAATATCATGATAGGGATGATAAGGCTGATCAAGCCTGATCATGAGTGAAATATCATGATTTGGTCAACTAGGCCACATCACAAGTGAATAGAAAATCGAAAACATCAATAGCAGTTCTAACTGAAACACTTGGAATAATTCTACTACTTATACTAGTAGTAGCCTTTTTAGTGTTTGTTGAACGTAAAGTAATGACTTTTGTGTAACGTCGAAAGAGTCTTGATGCAGTAGGATCGTTTGAACGATTTGAAATTTATACTAAAAAAACCTATGTCACCAAGTAGTGCAAATTTCGTTTTTATTTTTTTTAGAATGACTCATGTGACAACATTTATGTTAAGTTTGGTCGCTCGGGTCATTGTACCTTTTAATTATGGTTTGATTTTGTCAGATCCAAACATAGGGCTACTTTTATTTGTTTGCCGTCTTATATTGCTATTTTTGAATCATAATAAAACGCTCCCCTATGAAGTCTTGGAATTTAGACTCCTATATGCTTAGTTGCATCAGGGATACTTTGGGTTAGATGAAATCAATTCTTACTTTTTTGGTTTATAAGATACAGAACAATATTTGAAGGTCGATTCTCTGGTTCTTTGTTCTATTAAAATTGAGTAAGGGGCAGTTTAATTCTCACTGGCTAGTATAAAATTTTAAGCAGTGACACCGTGGGGTGTGTGGCAGGTGTTGTCTTGTCGAGTTGATGTTCAAGCCCAGCTCTTGCACCAAATTCTACTGTTTATGGTACAGAACAAGTCACTGGGAATGGAAGCCGTTTGCGAATTCTTAAGCCCATTTGTGAAACATTCAATACTAAGAACACAGCTTTCAGACTCATCGTCTTCGTTATTTATGCGAAATTTGATGTCATCGATTATGTCGGTTTGCTGCTCATTGCCACAGGAGGCATTGCCTATATTTGATTTGTTGATTCAAAGCCTCAAATATGTCCCACGCAAGACTCTAGAAGTAAGTTGGCATTGAGGCAGATAATTTCCAATACCGTCTCGAGTATGTTTGGATTATTATATAACTAAACTCGATATTTATCATTTCAAGTTTTTCCCACATTGAGCATAATGCACAAGCAATTACACTCGATTTGTACCAATGAAGTTCAGATTTCTTCATAATTTTGCAGGATTTCTGGAATTTCATACATCTGGTGGAATCTTTGGTGGATGCTTGTACTGTGGTCTTAAGACTGTTGGTCACCAGTGGATCGGTATGCAGCCACTTCATTCTTCATCACAATGAGATAATATATAATTTTGTCTGTCTGTTTTTTTGTGCATCCTTTTGCTTGCACAGAAGTTTAGAAGTTTAGTTAAACTAGTTGATAGCTTTGACCATGCCTTAAGTTCAGTCAATATTTAAAATTTTAATCTCTGTCTTGACTTTATCCTTTTCTCCCCACATAGCATCTCATAATGGAAGCTCAACAACGCAGCCTAGAACTGTTGGATACAATTTTCTCCTTGTATGCATGTCTGGACAGACATGTTTGTGGCTTTGAGCGCATTATTGAACTATCAACATACTTGTTGTCCGTACAAAAGGACCTCAAGATGCAATATGTTTCTAAGCTATCTTCAGCCTTCCCATCATTATTTACGATTCTCCTAAAATCAGAGCTTGAACACGAGCAATTGTTAATATTGAAACTTCTTCTCTCCCTCCTGCAGTGGAAAGCTGAACATGGTATGTTTTCTGTTTAGTTGAATGCGTTCTAATCCTACCTATTATTTATGCTTTCCACGTTCTTTGGCAGCCGGCAATAAGAAAATTTCATTCAAGATTGTCCATTTTACTCCCGTATTGTTGAATATATAATGATGCTTATGGCTTTTCAGAATATGCTAACAGGGTAACAACACTTTTACCAAGTGAAGAACTTTTATTCGTCTTTCCTGCCATCAGTCTCATGTCATCTCCTTCAAAATGTATTAAAGGAGCAGCAACTGAATTGCTTTCCATATTAGAAAAGCTGTTGGTGACACTATTGGTGACAACAAAGGATGAAGTTGAGAAGGAGAGGGCGTTTCACTTTTCATTGATTAGCACACCCGGGTCTATTATTGTTAAGCTTTTAGAAAAGCTATGGTTCCAGGTCAATTTTGTAACCTGACATCTTGAGTATTTTTCTTTGTCTAGCCTGAAATGGTAGCCTAAAACTGCAGAGATGGAATTCTTACTTTGAATGGTGATTGAAATTTGATAAGATTCAAACCATTTTATCTCAGGGCCTTTCTTCACAATCCAGTGGGTTCTTTTTGGATTTTGCTCTTTATGGCCAGAGTAATAGCAAAGATGATAATGATTTACCCAAAATGTGTTGGACATCTAAATTAAGAGAGTACTCATTATGGATTGTTGATAGACGGAAATCCCTCCTGCCCCTCACTCAATTTGAGGAATTATTTGTTAGAGGTAAAAGAGAAACACTCATTTTTTATGAGTTACTTACCATGTCTTAACTACTAGTTTTTATATTTCGGCATCCCTTGATTTATGGGGTAAGTGATCGATATTCTTTTATCATTCACTCGTGCAGAAATGCCCTTCCTAGTAAGTGCAATCACTTCCATTATGGTGGTGCATCATTCATTGGCGAGTGACGCTGTAGAGTTGCTAGCTGCTCTTGGAACCTTGGATCCAAAAATTGGATTTCAGTTGTTTCTTTTATTCCTTTTTTACTGCAATATATTTTCAAGAAAAGAAGTCGATCACCAGGATATGGTGGTGAGTTTTCTTTTTTGCACTTGGGTCTGACTAGTTTTTCAGCATGTGATATTTTTGCTTCTTCTTATCTCGCCTCAGAATGAATTTGTTTTCCATTCAAGAATGTGGTAATATTCATTTGAGTTGGTGCTAGTTACTATTTGCTGTGGTATAGTTACCTCGGGAGCATAAACTTGTGACTGTATAATATTCATTTATTTTTGAAGGTTATTAATTATTATGTAAGATTGTGAATTTTCTGTTATATGTGACCCTTCCTTCATATAATTAGATGAATATAAGAAAAAGAAATTTAAAAGTTATATGATCTGGAAGAGGTCATTTGGAAGAATTTTCATGCAAATTGTCTCCTTATAATTCAAGGACAGGTCCCGTTCAAGTAAGATCATGAAGCTTAATGAAAATTGGTCAAGAATAATTTTGATAGCGGTTTCTTGGACAAGGTCTTTTGGAGGAAAGGTTTTGGGTAGAAGTGGAGACCATGGGGGAGATATTGTAATTTGTTTTTTTTTTTTTTTTTTTCCCCATATTAGTTAATGGGACTAAAACAATAGTGTCTCTTCCCCCTGTTTTTTTGTTGTCGTGGTCGATGTTTTGAGTTTACTTGTTTCCAAGGACATGAAAAAGTTCAGTGAAAGGTTTCAAGGTGGGTAGGGACAAGATTCACTGAACATTCTCTCAAATTTTTTATCATATTAGGACTTGAAATCAATAGGGATAAAGCATGGTTAATGGAGTTAATTCAAAACTCATTATGTGGGTAGATCTAGCAGTGGGTAAGGTATCGAGCTGCCCCTCTTCATGCTTGGGTTTTTCAGACACAACCTAATTATCCTAGCTTTCTAGATCTTTGTTTTATACAGTGAGAAAATATAGGATTTAATATAAATTTATTGTAACCACCAATTAAACGAACTTCAATTGTTCACTTTTGAAACAGGTTTGTTTAGCAATACGATAGATGTCTGTGTACATTATTCTCCAAAAAAAAGAAAAAGAAAGTTTCTTCAGTATACTATCCTCACCCTTGTATTTGGCATGGACAATTAATGCTTTGAATGTTTCAGGCACATCATTTGTCTTTATTATCCAGACATTTAAGTATACTTCTTTTATGTTATTGCAGCTTAAACTTTTGGCATTGCTTCCATGCCTTGCTTCTCATAGTGCAATGGTTCCTTTCATAGTTGAAGCTATTTCACCAATGCTTCGCAAGGATTCAAATCCGTAAGTGCATTAAAAGAAAATATTTATTGTTTCATTTAACTTACATTTATTTGTTCGTTTTTGTGGCCAGTTGCCATTTTACCTCATATATAGGCTTTTATAAGATATAGTGATTATTGATATATGAAGGATACGAAGGTCTTATGGAAAAAGACTTAATATGTAGAACTAGGGAAATAATTACGAGACAAAAGAAACGTGGATCAAAATTTCCAAATTTTGATTTTCTTGTGGTGCATTAGATATTCTTCTGTTTTCTCCAATCTCCTAATGCATGGCATGGAAATCACTCAACAAATTTGTCTTGGTTCCTCAAAATTCACCACATAGGCAGAAGAAGCCAATCTTTTAGAAGTCAATCAGGAAATAGATATTGAAAATGCTGAAAAATTTGATCCAACTGTCGAAAGCAGTAAGACTGGGGAGGAGCAAATGATCTTGATCCTCCTCCAAAAATGACATAAGCAACACAAATGAGGACCAAGGGAGATGACCAGGTTCTTTTGCTGCAGCTTAACATTAGTACTAATGCCACCTAAATAGAGAGTGCTATTACACTTTTCATTTCTTGTTGATGAATGCCTTCCATACTATCTTGCAAAAAGTTGGCTTGGGTAATACGAAGCCTTGGGAAAGAGAGTATTATAAAGATATGACGTAAAAAGAATTTGTGCTTTTTAAGAGACCAAATCCTCATATTGCAACAGATGGAGTAGGATATGATGTTAAGATGGGGGATAGTGGAATTTCACTTCAAGAACCCAAATAAACACCCCACACTTCCTTAATCTGGACCTCGATCCACAGCTAAATTGAAAAGAACCTTGTACATTGCTCCTTGAGTGGACCACCTTCATCCTATGAAATCAACCAAAAAAGAGTAGATCTGCCTTTAACTTTGATAGCAATTTTTTTCGAAAGTAACTGATTTTTAATTTTTTTTATTTGGAATATTATCAAACAAAAAGTTTCAGATTTTGATACTAATGGTATCATCAACATGTCTCTTTATGAAACCTATATTTTCCTTATTCCGAAGAAAATAGATTCATGAATGGTTCATGATTATAGAACCATTAACCTATCCTATGTGTTTACAAAATAATAGCTAGAGTCTTATTGAATCATTTAAAGAAGGTTCTTCCTTGTACTATTGTTGAAAACCAAATGAATTTTGTGACGGGGAGACAAATTTTAGATGCTTACTTAGATGATTGGTAAACACGTGAAAAGAGTAGATTGATTCTTAAACTAGGTTTGGAGTAAGCTTTTGATAAAGTAGGTTAAGGCTTCTTTGTTGCAATCCTTCAAGCCAAAGAGTTTAGTCTCCGTTGGAGAAAATGGAATTTTGATCGTATCTCTAGTGCTAATTATTCCAGTAATTTATGGAAGATCATGAAGTAAGATTATTCCATCACACAGCGTTAGACAAGGGGGCCCTCTCTCCACTTTTCTCTTTATTATTGTCTCGGATTATCTTACTTGTCTTTTATACCATGGATCTCTATCGGGTAATATTATGTCTAATTGCTTTGGGAATTATTTTTTTAATAATCAATCATCACTTTGCGGATGACACATTATTATTCTCTTCTAGGATCTCAAACGGTGGAGAATTGATTTGATATTATCTAAATTTTTGAGATGTTTGGGCCTATGAAACCAATTTTGCAACCATTTATTTAAAGCTCTATAAACTTTCTGATGGCTCTAATGCAACAGTGGCTAAAGTTTGGAATTCAGCAGATAGGGATTGTGGATTGGGATATTGGGCTACGAGAAACCTTAAGGATGATTAAATTGTTACTTTATCTTCTGCTATGAATTCTTGGAGATGGCTTGTCTTATTGTTTCATCCAACAAATTATCTATTAGTTCTATGATGGGGATGTTGCTTCAAAACCGTGGTCAAAGACATCAAGTCTTTATACTCAGTGATATGCAAGGATTTATATTGAAGAAAAATTAAAGCTTTTTATGGGAACTTAGCTATAGTGTGTCAATACAGCGGATCATTTTCGAAGGAGAATGCCCTATTTCCTTGTTTCTCCTTCTTCGTGTGTAATGTGCAAGCCTAGCTCAGAATCTCAGTGTCACTTGTTTGGCTATTGTTCTTTTGCACATGAATATTGGAACTTTATCTTAGAAGGTTTCATTTGGAATGTCTAACATGGTTTAATGAGGAAAGCACTGAAAGTATGCAAAAGTTGCTCATAGTCATGCAAAGATTAGACTAGAAAATTGCATCAATCCTAGAATCAGATGGAGAGTTATTCGGCAAATTTCTCCTAGAGGATTGCAAGTGTTTCTTTGATTCTGTCAGCATCCTCTCTCTCTCTTTTTTTTTTTGTAAATAACAAAAAGTTGCTATGAAAAAACCACGTGACCCATGAAAATTGATGGCTTAACAGAAAGAGCCTCGGATAACTTCCAACAAAGAAATGGAGTCTTCATCAAGAATCACTATAACCTTGATGCATTTCAAATTAGCATCCTTATCAAATGCCCTTTTAGAAGCTGCCCCAAGGACTCTGATGCTCCAGTTGTGGATGATAGTTTAGGATTATTTTAATCATCATTGTTCTGTTACACATTCTGATTAGTTTAAAAGTATCGCACATTTTTTTTATATGAAACATTGACAACCTTGTATTAAACACAAAAAGGACAGCCCAGGGGCCAGGGGTAGAGGAAACCCCCTCCCACAAAACTTTTCATTCTGCAGGAAAGTTTTCTTTTCTTTTCCGTTTTTTTTTTTTGAAAAATACATATAGAACTTATATATTCTTAGAATTCTCAGTGGCATACTATTTATCGAATATACCTTCTTTTAAACTCTGATTTTTTATTTCATTTTCAGAGTCTTATATGCTACAGCAACGCGATTGCTATGTCAAAGCTGGGAAAAGAATGATCGTGTATTTGGGAGTCTGCAAGTAAGTTGTGTTTATATTTGTGTGAATGCTGGGGCAGTGGGAGGTGGGGTTGTTGGTGGGCTCTCTTTTACCTGATACTTAACAGTGTAATAAAGTTCCATTGCCTCTTCACCTTCATGTAGAGAGTCTTACTTCCCAATGGATTTTCTGACTTTGTTCATGAGAGAGAGATTTGTCTCAGTTTGGCTGCTTCAATTCGAGATGTTTGCAGAAAAGATGCAGATAGAGGAGTAGACCTTATCTTGTCTGTTTCAGTATGGCTTACTTGGAAACCTTTCTTTGTCTTTGTTTTTTGTTTCACATCTATTACAGATGGATTTTATATATCCTCTCAATTAACAGGCATGCATTGAAAGCCCTGATCCTATCAATCAAGCTCTTGGATTTCAAGGCCTTGCACATCTATGTGAAGCTGATGTCATTGGTAAACTTACTGTCTATAAATTATAATATGTAAATTATTCATACTTGGGTCTAGACTGAAAGAGTTCACAATAAACCTTCCAGATTTTTACACGGCATGGGATGTCATTGCTGAGTATCCACTGGACTATTCTGCAAATCCAGTTCTTGCAAATAGGTTAGTCACTTCTCCCAACGAACTACCGTGGGATTTTACAAGGAGCAAATGAAGAAAGAATAATTTTACAAATGGAATAGTAAAAGCCTCTCCAGTTGAGGACAACATAATAAGAAGGGGAATAATTTTTTTTTCAAAAAAGATACCACAGTTCTGAGGCCTTTATATAGAAATAATCCTATCCCATGTTTCTAAAACAATCCTTTCTCAATCATTTAAGTTTTACAATTTTCTCCGATCGCAGCTCCCAAGAATAGTCCTACTAACCCTTCCTCACAAGATAATTCCCTTTCTGTTTAGCAGAAACCACCCAGTAAATCTGACACAAAAATAAGGTAATTTGGCACCAAAATCCTGAATCACAATCTCCAAAAAGAAGTAAAAGTGTTTTATGTATATATGAGAAGCATCCTAGCCAAGGTCTTTTGTCGCAACGCACACTACCCGAGGAGAAGACAATTTATTTTGCTGTCTAGCATGCAATTCGTTGTAGTTTTTCTTTTATATGATAGAAGACATGTATATCAATCAAAAAGGGATTTTAAGAACAGACCACAAAGAGCTAGGACCCCTGCTGAACCTTCTTGGGGCAGGGATCCTTCTAAATTCTCTTGTACAAGATGGTAGGAATGAAATGATCATAGGAACTCTACTAGAATAGAGTTTGAAATGAAAACACTATAGACGAATCTGGCATCCACAATCTATGATCATCAAATTCAAGAAGGGCTTGCAAGTCTAATTAGTATGTGGGAGTGGGTAGAGCATTAGAAAAGTGGATTTATGTGTGTACTGCCTCTCTGCTCTGACAGTTAGAAGGAGCCTGTCCCGAAATACTAATTAGACTTGTGAACCCTTCTGCTTGTATACTGCAACGAAATGGTGAGCCATGAGACTTCCAACCACTTTTATTTAATCAAACTGTTTTGTAACAGTGTCAATGTCTTTTCTTTTTCAGTATCTCACAATAAATCTTATTTATAAATCTAACTGATCTTACAAACGATTGCCAAATTTTAGGGAAAATATATTTCTGCGATTTGGTTGACACACTGAAATTGTTAAATTAGAAATAGTTAAATTTAACTTTCAACTACTTGTATGATCTATTTAAGAGGACAACCTGGCTTTTTGGCAGCCTCTGCAATCTTCTCAGATGGGGTGCAATTGATGCTGAAGTCTATCCAGAAGCTTCAAAAGACATAATAGGAATTCTTTTCACTGTTGGGACATCAACTTGTCCTTGTCATGATTTGCAGTGGACGAAGGCTAAGGCTTCTGCTTTTGACGCCTTGTCACAATATGAGGTAAAATTTGGGATGAAACCTTTTTTATAATCGTTAGCGACCTTTTTCTTCTTTTATAGAAGAAACAACTTGATAGAACACAACTATATTGCAACGTAAAAGATAAAAGGAACTACTGTATAATTCCCCTAAGCATTTGAGATACTTGGAACCTCCCCTCTTGAGATACTACTCAAGCTCTAAGCCACTAAACAGTTACCTACCTTTACCCTTTCTCACCCCACTCTATTTATCACGAATCACCACAATAGCTTCCTGTAACTTCCTGTTGCAAGTCTAAATTAGATTTTTTTTCATTATAATTTCAGCGAGGTGCATGCCGTTTTTTAATACAAAAAGCTAACTAAATATCTAGATACTAGGTATAATAAATCTAAATAAAACCGTAGGTAAATCTAGTAAATCTGAATAAATCCTAGATACTAGGTACAATAAATCAATACTTGGTACAATAATTCTAAATAAATCCCTAAATCTCTAGATAACTGTGAATCTAAATAAATCTTTAAGTAATAGTAAATCTTCCTAGAAATTAGGTAATAATAAGGGATATCCCTGGGTAATAGTAATAATAAAGGATAAGGAATTATACAAATATTTCCTAGATTAAGGCTAATCCTTCAACACTTCCCCATTCATTATCGGTTGGATATTAACTCATTAAGCAGTAAGCTGTAAAGTCAGCTGAAGCTTTTGCTGTAAAGTTAGTTGAAGCTTTTTGTTAGCACTTTTGTCAGTTGAGGCCGTGAGAGAATATAACTCATACATACTTCTCTTGGAGCACTTCCACCAGGGTTGCTTGCCTCTCTCAGGTTCACTTCCCTGGGAGACTTGCCATGGGTGTCACTTGTCTCTCTCATGCTCTTTCCACTTGGAGCACTTCCATTGGCATCGCTTGCCTCTCTCGTGCTCACTCCTCTTGCGAGTGTTTAGTCTCCTTTCAGCCCCCTTTGTCTTAAACATTGTTAGCCATTCATGACATCGACAATGGCACATCCTTTCTGATAGTGGCAGCAATAAATTCATTCAATTTATTTATTCACCTTTTTGATATCCTTTCCTTTGGTATTGTCATTTATGCTTGCCAGGTATCCCTTCTTGAGAGAAGTATTGTAGATTTTAAAGAAAGGAGCACGTCAGTCCTTTTTACGGAAATAGATGTGAACATCCTCAGTGCGATAAAAGGTCTTCTGGTCAAGATTATATCTCATGAGCACAGGTTAAAATTTGTATGTATTATAGTCTACCGCCCGCTTCAATTGCTGCCACGAAAAACATTCATGTAATTGATTATTCATTCCCAATTTGTTGCAGTAACCGGAGACGACTTGTAAAGGAGAAGAGAGTTGCTGGAAGTAAGATTGAGAAACTACTAGACGTCTATCCTCGTCTTGTTTTTTCTTCAGGTATTATGTTATTAGTGGTGTAGCTGTTATATACAAGAACAATGGCCTCCACCACTCTTTCCTCACCCAAAAAGCCTCTTCTAGTTCTTTATAACTAAACCTCCTATAAAATTGTTCGTATGGCATTCGCTACATATTTTGAATTTATCCAATTTTGAAATTTATTCTACCCTTTTACTACCAGTTTACTATATAGGAAGTGCAATAATTAGTCAACATTATTAGTTTTCCGTGTATTTTATTGGTTGGAATATTTTATGTAGTAACCGGTTATAGTTAGTTGACTAGCCTATTTAAGGCATTTCCTGCCTTTAATATAAAAAGAACAGACTCTTAACAACTGGTGTAAGTATTAGAGCACCCTCGTGGTAGGGACTTGGTGGCTGGAAAAAAGAACCCACCAACGACTGGCAATGACACAGTTCTAATTAGTCTTGATGCTTCGACTTCTCAAAACCCCATTATCTCCTCAAACCATGACACGCCAGATGTTATCAGTTGAAAGATCTATTGAAGAAATGAAGACAAATATGCAGGAGTTTAACCGACAATCTGTGCTGAATATACGAAGGAGTTTAACCGGCTATGTGCACAAAATAATCTTGTGAAATCTGAGAACCAACAAATAGCAAGGTATGTAGATGGATTGAGGGGCGATGTAAAGATTGCAACCAGTGTATTATCTCCCTGGTGGTATTTCTTTATCCTATAGAGTGGAACAACAACGTGAAGAAAAACAGGAGGACCCGATTAGAAAGATATCTGTATTAGGAGGAATAGTTTTACAAGAACATAGTAGATTCACAAAGACACCTCCAATGAGGAAGTACTTTATCCATTACAAATAAACTAAAGAAGATCTCAACAATAAAGTTGGCACCAAGAAAGTAATGGAAATACAGCAGACCAACATCGGGAGAATGTTTTAGTTGTGGACAGCAAGAGAACTTATCTAATAAATGCCCTCAAAGGAAGACATTGGCAATAATGGAAAGAGGGAATAGTAAATATGGAGGTCAAGATAATGTTGAAGAGGAAGTAGCTTATGTGGAAGCCGGTGATAGAGAACAACTATTTTGTCCTACAAAGAGTGTTATTAACTCCTACATCCGAACCTGCCTTACTAAGACATCCTCTACCTCAAACTCATTGTACTTTTAGTATATATATATATATATATATTTTGCATTCTCGAGGATATTATCTTTATGTATTGTTAGTTGTTGAAGTCCTGGATGAAGGTAACCTTGTTGCAATAATTATTTTGTTTGATTTTAATAGTTCAAGTTGGCGGGCAAAAAACACCTGTCTGTTGGTATTACTTGAAATTACTTGCATTTCAATTATATTTTACCTGTTCAATAAAAGGAACACATATTATTGAAAATTTGTGACTACGCATTAAAATAAGATTTACCGAAGTAAAATTGTTGCGATTCATTAAAGTCCATTAATAACATATATTATTTCATGGTTACTAGTTTAGTCAAAAGAAAATTAAATATTAATCTTAAACCCACTTTGTTGCTAACAACTACTCAAATTCATGGAAACTTAGTTAAATTTATATCTTTAAAAAGTTCGTATGCTTGTAAAGAAATAGTTATTCAATCATATTCGAGAGAGTTAATAAAAGGAAATGGAAATATGACGTGCAATACAACAATTGCACTAGAAAATTAGCAGGAGTAAATGCGATTATTAAGGTTGCATCCTATGATTTTCCTATTTTTCCTCAGGATGGTGGGGGTTGTATTCAGTTGAATATGAAACTTTGTTCATTTAGTTTAGTCATTTCATATCGTGAGTTGTTGCCTTCTGTGCTTATTTGTAGAATTGCTAAATTCCTTAAATTTGTTCTCAGGGAACAGTACTGTTAGGGAACTGCCTGCTGCTGCACTTCTGTGTCTGTCTTTTTCTTCTAGAAAAGGGAATGATCCTGAAAGAGTAAGGATGTTGTAATTGGTTCATCATTTTGAAAGGTTCTTTCTTTCCCTAACTAGCCAATTCTTTATTCAGAGAACAAAAGATGAACATGCCAGTTATGTGGATGCGATGTGTGAAATTGCTGAATCTCTTCAACTTTCAAGAAACATTGTCATGGCTCTCTTAGCCCTGGAATCATGGAAAGCATTTATGGAACGCTGGTTAAAGTCTGAAGTTTTTTCCTTTGATGTTAGAGATACTGCAGTTATCTCAGAGAAAACATGTAAAGCTGCTAATGCAATTTTGAAGGTCCCCGTTTCTTGTCTTGGCCTTCCTATTTACACCTCTTACTTTCATGCCACTTATTATAATAGTTTGGAAAATGTTGAAATTTTGGTAGTAATGTTGTTATTCCTGTCCTTCAGAGTATAATACATGCTGCTGAAGAAGCTTTGCCAAGATCTGCTGAAAATATGGCGCTAGCTATTGGTGCACTTTGTATGGTAATCTTTTGCTTCAGCAACCTCTTTCTTCACCACTCTGGTCTTCTAGGGATGTCTCATCTCCTCGTCTCTCCTTTGTATGCTATTCTTTCTGTCAATAAATTATTCGTTTCTTATTTTTAAAAATCCCACTTTCTTTCCCAATTTGATTCTCGAATTTTACTGTCGAAATGTCAGCGTCTATTTTCTGAAGTTCCTTGAATATTTATGTCATCAGTCTCTGGTATGCAATACAAAGTATGATAAATGTTAATTTGGAGAATAGATTCGTTTGGATACGCTATTATCACTGGGATGTTAAGGTCAAGAGGTTTACTCCATGCCGAGGCCTTCAAGAGTAAAATTCTTTTCTTGTTAAGCCTGTGTACTTTTAGATTGTGAACTTATCACTGCAGCCTTATTAGTGTCATTGAGATATTACAAATGTCACATATACATGTGCGTGCGTGTATGCATTATAAGAAACAAGCTGTGGCTTTTCGATAGCGTGAGACATTACAAATATCATTGCGGCTTTTTTCCCTTTTGTTATCAGGTCTTGCCTCAGGCTGCCCATGCTGTGAAGTCAACTGCTGCCAAGTATCTGTTAAATTGGTTGTTCCAGCATGAGCATGAGCATCGTCAATGGCCATCTGCAATATCCCTTGGAATAATCTCCAGATGTCTGCATGTCACTGATCATACATTGAAATTTCAGAACATCTCTGGACTTCTAGAGGTATGCAGATCCTCGTTCCATCACAAAGTTCTTTTTCAAAGTAAATGGCTATTCTTTTTATGCATGGCATTATGCAAATAAAGGAGTTGCAAAGCTCGTATTTGATTATGATTACTGTTAATTTTTCTATCTGTTTTGCCTCTGAATTTCATGAAATCTCCCTTTCAGGTTTTAAGCGTTAGCAAAAGCACCCTCGTTAAAGGAGCTTGTGGAGTTGGATTAGGCTATTCTAGCCATAATCTTCTTTCCGGGGTTGAAATTGTTGACAAATCTAATTTGGTTAAAGACAAGCAGACATCCAGGATTGAGGATGTAGAGTTGCTAGGAACAATAGTTAGGGCTTTGTCTTTGATGATATGTCAGCTCACTGGATCTTCTACAGACATGTTGGAAGATCTCTTTACATTGTTCCCAGTGCACTCTTTCGATATCAGTGTAGATGCCCACCTGTTGCATGAGAATGGTGATTTTGAAGATGTCTGGGGTGTTGCTGGACTAATTCTAGGTCTGGGTAACACCATCGTTGCAATGTACAAAGCTGGGACATATAATGCTGTCCTGGAGATTAAAAGATTGATTTCCTCGTGGATGCCTCACGGAAATTCGGTACTTCAGTACTCTGATTCATTCGATGACAATTCTGTTAGAATTCTCTCTGTTGGATCCTGTCTTGCACTACCAGCCGTCATGACTTTTTGTCATCGATTCGAGTTGATGAATGGCGATGAACTGGGCCATCTAATAAATGTCTATAAGGAGACTATTTCTGAACTGTTATCTGTTAAAAAATCTACTACATCCCATCAGAATTTGTTGATGGCATCATGCATAGGAGCAGGAAACCTCCTTGCCGGCATTTTAAATGAGGGGGTTTGTTCTATTGAAGTTGGATGTGTCCAAGACTTGCTGGAGTTATTTAGAAGATGTTATTCTAATCCGTACAGTCCTTTGATTCATTTTGGGGGAATGCTTGGAGTAGTAAATGCTATGGGAGTGGGTGTCGGAAGTTTATTCGATGTGCATCCTACAACATCATCAGTTCAAATTGAACATGACCTAAAGGTTAGATATCCTACTGTTATGTTTTTGTTCACTTTTAAATTGGTTTTCTTATAAAAATGTGTTTACAGGAATCTTCTCATCTTATGGGTCCACTACTTTCAAGTCGTGTTTGTGAGCCACTGTTGACATCAGTGATGCAAGAGATGTATCTTGTTGCACAGAATTCTGATGACAAAAAATTGCAGCAATATGCTGCATGGGCAGTTTCATTCCTTAGACATAATATTTGGTCAAAGAAATCTCCAAACATTCAGAACTTAAATGAGACAGATGAATCTGGTTCAAGATCTATACCTCAAAATTTCCAAGTGGATGGTGTAGTAATGAGGCTATGCAATTGGCTAAAGCAGCTTAATCTTTCAGGGGTATGTTTCTTCCGGTTTTCTTTTTAGCTTTGATTTGAGCCTAAAAGTTATATATATACATGCATGTACGTATTCTGCATCACCTCACATTTCTTTTAATTTTGAAAACTCATACTTTATATGAAAGGAAACACAAGAGGGCAATTAAAAGATACTCCAGCCCAAGCTAAAGGGTGCCAAGATAAAAGGGCTCCAACCGTTCAAAATAAGAAACAAAGGATAATTACAAAAATCTCTAATTACACACTCAAAGGGAGGTGGTGTTGGGACCTACAAAAATTATGATAAATATGGAGAGAGATATAGTGGTTCCTACCAACTTTATGGAAGAAAGATAAATCATGGATTTGGGGCGGGTTTGGAGGTTGTACCCCATGGGTTTGAGAGGCCAAACCCGGGGTACGCAACTCCTTCCCCCGAAGCCAAACTCACACAAACCTGAAACCGTGCCCCAGACACCCCCTTGATATTTTCCAAATTTTGTTTTTTGAGTATGGTTGGAAAGTTAGCCCCTAATTCCAATTTAGTGTCTTTTGATAAAAATAAAAGTTGCTCATCACTTGAAAATAGCTGAGTTGAGTAACAAGAATATTGTCTAAACTGTTCTTATGAAAACTCGTTGATAACGTACACGATTGTTATTAGTACTGTGTTGAACTGAAGCAATATCGCTTGTTGGCTACATGCACGATTTATTTTGTTAAGTTTAATCTGAAAAATCTAATACTTCAAAAGTTCAGACAGGTCCAGCTACATATATTGACACTTTAGTAACCATACTACGGTGCCTCTCTCAAGCTCCCAGATTGCCGTCCTTGGACTGGGGAGTAATCATCAGGCGCTGCATGAGGTATGAGGATCAAGTTGCTGAATCGCAGCCACAAAGTTCTGCTCTTAGAAAGGGCATTCTAAGGGAGGAATGCTTGAAGTTCTCACTAGCGCATGCAAACCAATTCGACCAACTGCTTATTTTTCTTGATGAGCTTTCTGACATCTCCAGGTTCAGAACACTTGCGCTGAATCTGCAGTCATGTTTGCTTATTCATCTCGCAGGTCTCATGAACGTGTTCTCTAATTCGAGGGTCGAAAAACTTTTCAATGACATGAAGAACTACTTGTTTTCTTCTTACTCCAACAAACTCCAGTACAATTATGAGAAGCATTTACTATGCATCTCGTGCTGGAAGGGCCTCTACCAATGTCTTGAAGAGGCTTCTCTCAATTCTCTAGAGTGCATATCTCATATTGAAAACTTCATGGAGGTTCTTTTTATCATGTTACCTACATCGCCCTCCATTACCGACACAGAAGTAGATGAGGTACACTCCACAAAAGAGTGGTCCGAGGCAATACGATGCCTTGGCAAGGCACGGCAGGCATGGCTGCTGGACTTCCTTCAGGTACATGACTCCATCTCTTCATATTTCCAAGGTCTTCTTCACTGTTTTCGTTGTAGGGACTTGTATTCAAATTTATGTGACGACCACTTGTCTATGCTTGAAAAACCTTTGCAGAATGTCTTTTTAAGATTAAATAAAACGGGTTTCCTAATCTATTGGAAACCGTAGATCTTCATTTGTGCATTTAATCTCGTGTTTCTGATTTCTCAAGTGCCATGTGCAGGTCTCATCAGAGGATCTTGTACTAAAAGATGAGAAGTTTTTTGAAGTTCTTAAGAAGATGAAAGCCAAAGCCAAACTAACCAGGAACGGTTCTCTTCCACTGAGCGAGCTAGGAAAACTGAAAATCCTGATGCTGAACTTGAAATTGCAAGGTTCTGCTTCTTTGGACAATTTTTGGGAACGTAGTTATAATGATTAGTATTAAGCATCAAATGGAGTTTCAGACTCAAAATAGAAATCTCACATGTTATCTTAGCCTCACAGTCTCGTGCCCATTTACTTGTTTCAAGGCATTTGTTACTGAGATTTCGTATTGCTATCGACTTACATAGACCTTCAATTTGCAGATGTGTGGGATGTACTGGTGGAGGTTGTAGCAGCTCTTCAACTTGCAGAGGGAAATGTCAAGAGACAATGGCTGGTTGATACTGTGGAAATTAGCTGCGTCTCAGTTCATCCTTCCACGGTAGGCATTAGTCAGTAGTTTGATGGAACAGTCAAATTAAAATTTAGACACGAAATTCATAGTTTAGAATCAATCCATTAAGTTGAAATAGGTTTTAGAATTCACTGTTGTCATTCAACGGTCATTAATAGGCTGAAAATGGAAAGAATCAAATTTTAATGCTTATGTTAGAACATTATGTCGACTTGAAAATAGTTCAAACTAGTTAGGGTATATATCTTCTATCAAAAGGTCGGGGTTGGGGTTCAAACTACCCACCCCACAAAATTAGAGAACACTTTGTAAAATGTTTTGGTGTTTTCTTCTGCAGGCACTGCATTTTCTTGGTTTACTATCAGGTAGCTTCTCCAAATACATGCCTTTACTGATTTTGGAACCTCATGCCGTGCTGAAGGATCTACCTGTGACCCTCAATTCTCTTATATCCACATCTGGCTGGGGTTACATTGCAGAGCCCATCGCTTCCCATCTCCTCGCCTCGACTGAACGGATTCTAAATACGAACAGTATACATAGCTCCCAACCTATTGATGAAAGTGAAACTGATACAGCTATTTCTCTGTTACATGTGATGCATAATACCTGCGTTTCTTTGAAGGAATTCTTGCCATTGGAGGAGCAGCTTAGGGTTGCAAACATGAATATCATCACTCAGCAAAGAGGGTGATTTTGAAATTGATCACCAAATTTTGTTGAACATATTGCCGAACAGCTGAAATTTTGGATGTGGAAGGTTTTAGGTTTGTGTGATATGCTTGAATTATGCCAATAGAGGAATTATAGAAATTTATATATTAATTGAATTTAAGTTACAAAAGTACGTTAAATTTATTTTTGAATCCTGATAATAACAACCTAAAAAATAATAAAAAAATAATATTTGATTCAACTAGTCTGGAGAATTAGAGACTCCTTTTCTTTATACATGAATGTAGTAAGAGGAGGTTGAAAATGGAAAACAATTTTTCACATTTGCTAAACAAGTTTTCCTGAACTAAATAAAAAAGGAACAGAAAAGGAAAAAAACTCCATTAATTTTACATTTTAACTCGGTATGAAAAATGCTCGAAAAAAAAAAACGCCTTAAACCATAAAAATGCTTCAATTCATGTCTCTTTCAATCACTGGGGAAACTTTACCTGTTTCTGAAGGCTCGACACAACTGTCTCGTGTTGAATTCTCGGATTCTCTGTCTCTTAAGGTTTCTATAAAGAGGATGATTTCTGATTCCTTTTTAGGCTCCATGTCGACATCTCGAGATGCCTCCGAAGACTTGTCATCAGGGTCTTTGCCACTAGATAGCCATACAAATTTCAGGTCTTGACCTTGCCTACATTTGCCATTTTCAAATGCCCGTTCAGCTGAATGGCGGGTTAAAAAGGTGACATTAGCCGAGTAGGTATTGGATGCATTTGAAATGCTGCTGCAATTTTCCGAAACAAGTTCGATGGTACGAACGTTACCGAAGGCTGAGAAATGCTCCTTTATCACATTCTCCTACAACAATTAATAACATGAAATTAGAATCAGGTAAAGATGCTCCAAATGCAAAAGTTCAGACAATTACACAAAGATGGTAGTTAAAAAGAATTCAACCAATAACACAAAGCCTGCACATCTCCAAGGGAAAAATTCTTAATTAACATTATGTTCCCATCAAAGCTTCCAACAACAACTGGAAGGCCCAAATTCTTTCAAAATGAAAGATCAGCCTTTGAACACAAGCAACAGAGAGAGGGGGACAGAAACCAGAAAGGAAAATGTCATTGCAGTCTCTCGGTTGTGTTTATGCTTTTGGAAATCATTGACCATATGGGAGAGACTTCTTAAGAAATCGACACCTTCCATGTTTTCTATAATAAGTAACCGAACTTTCATCGAGAAAAAAAAAAAAAAAAAAAAAAA